ATTTCTATTGTTCCTATTGTGGCTAAGGTTTTTGAAAGGGTAATTTATGATCAGCTATATACATTTATAGCTGAAAATGAATTATTAACTAATTATCAATCGGGATTTCGAGGCCTACATTCTACTGTCACCTCTCTTCTTGAGGCTACCAACGAATGGGCTTATAATATTGACAGTGGTAATGTAAATGCTGTAATGTTTCTTGATCTTAAAAAAGCGTTCGACACTGTAGATCATGAAATATTGCTGAACAAACTTAATGCATATGGTATCAAGGGAACTGCGGGTAACTGGTTAAGATCGTATCTAAATGAACGTAATCAAAAGTGTTTTGTTAACGGTCATTTCTCCTCGAATCGATTACTACAATGTGGGGTTCCTCAGGGAACTATATTAGGTCCGCTTTTATTTTTAATCTATATTAATGATCTTCCTAATTGTCTAATACACTCTCGGGCACGAATGTTTGCTGATGACACTAATTTGACATATGCAAGTAATAACATACATGAAATTAATCATAATCTTAACGAGGATCTTGCTAATGTCAGTGAATGGTTATCAGCAAACAAACTTACTTTAAACCAGACTAAAACTGAATTTATGCTAATTGGCTCTCGCCAAAGAATAAACACTTTTCAATCTACTCCTTTATTAGTAATAAATAACGTTCCAGTTAAACAAGTCTCTCATACAAAATCACTCGGCGTACACATTGATGAGAACTTATCCTGGAATGTTCATATTGAGAAACTGAGTAAAAAAGTTGCTTCCGGTATTGGTGCACTAAAACGCATTAGACCTTATGTTCCTTTTACCACAATGCAACTTATTTACAAGTGCTTAGTTCAACCATATTTCGACTACTGCTCTGCTGTCTGGGATAGTTGCAGTAGTTATCTAGTTAACAAATTGCAAAAATTACAAAATCGTGCTGCCAGGGTATTGACATCTTCTAGTTATGATACAAATGCCGATTATCTTTTCGAAAGTCTTGGATGGAAAAATCTTGTATCTCAGCGTAGGCTTACCAAGGCTATCATGGTGTATAAATCCTTGAATGGTCTTGCCCCAGATTATCTTTCTAATATGTTTGTTGATCGCAATAGTATCACAAATTATGCATTGAGAGACACCAGTAACAAACTAGCTTTGTCACTACCGCGTACTAATTACTTGAAAAATAGCTTTAGTTATAGCGGTGCAGTACTGTGGAATTCTCTTCCTACTGAGTTAAGACAGGCTAGTACTTTACATAAATTTAAGTCTGACTGTAGCAACTTTATTCAATAATTTTTAAATATTTTATCTAATTTTATCAATTTAATGCACGGCACTCATGAAAAACAGGTAGTTTTGTAAATATGTATAGTATAATTTATCATATATCTAATTCCCTTTGTTACTTTATCATAAGTGTGTAAAATCCTGATGAGTCCACCGTGACTAAATAAAGTTCACAATACATTTATATATTGGACAATGAAAAATTTAACTATAGTGGTAAATCTCTCAATTGTATTCAATTCAATTAATATTATTTCCTCACCCTGATAACTGCCGATTATCCACAATCCGCTGCACAATAGCGCTTAGGTAAAACCTACCTATATACCGCCTATTAAAAACACACCCCTGTACAAACGGTACATATATATCTATCCTATTGCCTGTCTACTGTACGTTATGTTGCGTGAAATTGGCCGTTTTTATACTAGAGACGCATTATGGGTCTGGACGAACTTGGGCAAGCATTTGTTGTTCGTCTGGTTATGCGTCCTTAATAAAGACGGGCACAAGACGCATTATGCGTCTAGACGAACTATGTTCGATTCTTCGTCTTAAGAGACGCACAACCGATGATAGTTCGTCTATAGACGCATAATGCGTATTGTGCCCGTCTTTATACTGAGGACGCATAACCAGATGAACAATAAATGTTGATATACAGTACCGCTCGCGTGTGTCTTAACACTTTTTTGCGTATGATACGCGTATCATAAGCGTATGGTACGCGTAACATACCCGTATTATAAGCGTATGCTACGCGTAAGCTATCCAAGTGATACGCGTATGAAGTGCGTAGGATACGCGTATCTTAAGACCACGTTACGCGTATCTCTTGATTATGATACGCGTATCGTAAGATTACGATACGCGTGTCTCATAATAGACAACTTGCATGTTAGACAAATTTTTGATCTAGCCGATCTAGGCAAAAAAAAAAGTAAATTCCCATTAAGAACTTATTAAAATTAGTAAACTTGCAAAATTTGGTTGCGAAATGTTGTAAAGCTCGGAAAATATAGCTTTGTAAAGTTTGCATATTTTCAGTATATTACGTGCGGAAATTGTTACCATTTTCGGCTCAAAAATGGTAACAATTTCCGCTCGTAATACAAATATACTGAAAATATGCAAACTTTGCAAGGCTATATTTTCCAAGCTTTACAACATTTCGCAACCAAATTTTGCACTTTTACTAATTTCAATATGTTCTTTGTAGCTGTGGTGTCTGATTCCCTTTTCTCTGCTTAGATTAAAATTTTGTCTAACATGCAAGTTGTCCATTACGACGCGCATATCTTAAGATTACCATACGCGTGTGTTATGATTACGATACGCATGCGATTAATGTGGATATACACGACCATTATAATGCGTATAGTGGGCAGACACAGTATATGTGATATATCTTATACGCATGAAACTGAAACGCAAAATGCGTCGTTTTATAGATTTGAATAATAATAAAAATATCTAATACGATATTCATTGGAATCAAAATACGTAAATATAGTTATAAGTAGAAATCCAATAAAATAAAGATCATACTGCAATTATACGAAAACATATATGCATGTAAAAAGCACTAATCAATCACTGAAAAGCTCTGCTTTAACGGCTTAAAGTTTACAGTCTTTGCACTATTTTTGAAAGTTGTGTTAAAATGTTTAGTAGGGCCTATACATAGCAATCAGTCATTTAATAACCTTATACTTCATAGAAATTGTTTAGATTAGTCATGTCGGTTTTCAAGAAGGCACTGGGCATTGTAAAATACTTCATTTTTCAAATTATACATGCATGCATGTTAATTAAATTTCTCTCATCAAACGATTAACTTTAAACCAGTTAGCTTTTTGCACTACTTTATAGCGGCATACTTTTTTTTAGAGGAGGGGAGGCAATGTGACAGGCTTGACAGCATTTTATGGCTGTGTCATCTATAACTGATATAAAAACAAAGCAGAAAATTATTAATTACAAAGTACGTACCAAAACGACGTTTAAATGGTACTGATAAATTATTTGATAACTGCAACGATTTAAACTCCTTTTATACTACATTAATACTATAATGTTCAATGTATGCTATGCGTGTGAGCTCATTGATTACATGGCCAGAAATTCAGGACAGTCAGCGGAAAGACGCGCGGGCTCATATTCACCAAGTTTCCATTTCAAGAAAGAATAGAATGCAGTCGGGCATGTATCCGACATTGTATTCGTATGCAAATTTTATACGCACAATACAACAATAAGCCATTTAAATACTTACTTGAGGTACAGTATGTTCAAGTAAACGAAAGAAAAGTATTTTAAAATAAATTTCCAACTGTTAAAGATGCCCAAAAAAAAACTGCTGCAAATAATTTTACCACATTTTACAAATTTTCCCGCGAAATCTGAGCTATTTTATTGCGAAATCAACCTCACTGAGCCCACAAATACACCTTGTCAGTCATATAGGTTGCCTAGCAACAATTTTAAAGCAAAATGGCGGATCAACATTTACAAATTTGCTGTTTCTTTTCAATTTTTCGAGTGATTTGTGGTAATTCCAACGCTCAATGTACACATTTTCTGTTTGCTAAAAAGCATATATTTGGTGGCTTTTTGGAACCTGTTTATCCATCCTCTACGGGTTTGTAAACTGTTGGAGAACAAAGATAAACTCAAGTTTTATCAATGCAGACGTGCAGAAGCTCCATGTACTGCCCACGAATATCCTAAAATGCTGTCCAAAAATGTGCAGTTTGCGAATTTTGGGAGAATTAACTATCTGGTATATGTGATGAAATAAGGTAGGAATATAGTTCTCGGGAACTGGTTTGTCCTACTTGAACTGTTCTGAAATTTATTCGGTTAAAGGATCGAGTAATTAAATGATGTTTTGGACGTGCAGAGCTCGGATTTATGTACGAAAAATGTTGGAAATTGCTAAAACATATATTTGCAATACTTAATCTATATATAAATCAGCCATCTTGAATAATGAATGAGGAAGTACATTGCGTATGCCAATCGCCATGTTGTCCTGAATTTCTGGCCATGACGCATACGCGTATATCTGTTGGGTATATACGCGTATCTGTTGGGCATGTACGCGTATATATTGGGCATATACGCGTATATATTGGGCATATATCTGGACGCGTATCTGGCTAGATCATATAAATACGCGTACATCATCCGCATGTATATCATACTGGCCATCGCCACTGACGCCACGAAAACGAAGATGCCTGGCACGCGAATTCCGCTTTATGCGAAAGAACTGTAATATAAGCGAATCAGACAACAACGTTACAAAACCAGACTTTTCTATTACTCTTTTTCACGCTAGAATATCACACAATAACAATTCTAATGTCCCTGTCTCATATTACTGATGTCCTAATACCTTGCCAATCACCCCTGTGACACTTGATACCTATTATTATTATAGTCATACATATTACACAATCCTCCTCTCTAATTGAGAGCGTCCTCGATGTCTACCTCATCTAGATTATAGTCCTGATATCTGTCCGGTTGTCTACGCTGACGGGTGGACCTTCGTAGCGTGTTAGTCCTCTCTTGGTGGGCAGGCTGCACGACTAAATTCTCTTGATGATGAATCATCGGTTCGTTGGTCTGCAATGCGGTATGTTGGGTTTCTTTCAGGGAGCACGTGGACATGCCTTCCTCCACTCTTGGTCGGCAAGGAGCTGATTTCAGACGATTGCGGTGGACCACTTTAGATTTCCTGATTCGGGCTTAATGTGGTAATTTGTGCCACCAAGACGGTGTAGGACCATGTAAGGCTCGGACCACTGTAGGTGGAACTTTCGACTAAGCCCTTTTGGAACCGCTGTGTCGTTGAGCCAAACCCGATCTCCCACCTTAAATGGCGTGCTTTTGTCAATGTTGTTGCGATCATCGTATCCCTTTTTCTGCTTCCTCTGTGCCTCACTAATCTTTTCTTTCACAAAGCGTTGCACGTCCTTCAGGGACTTCTCTAACTCATCGCAGTAGTTTGAGATAAACTGTTCCTTTGCCTCTGTCTGGGTGCCCATCAGCACTAACGGTGTGCTGGCTTCACGACCATAAACCACTCTAAACGGTGAAACTCCTGACGATGAATGTACGCTGTTGCGGTATGCGAACAAGGCGAGAGGTAAATGAACGTTCCAATCAGTGTGGTCTTTATTTACATACGCTGTGAGGATCCCCTTCAAGGTCCGGTTTAATAATAATAATAATAATAATAATAATAAAACTTTATTTAATGAGGGATTACACTGATTACTTAATATAGTATTCTTCCCAATGGCCCTCGATATCTAATAGTAATATATAAAAAGAAAATCCTATTGAGAGTAACATTGACAATGAGTAATATGCTTACAATCGATGCAGCGGAATTTATTAACGTGATCTACTTCATAATTCAATTGAATAAAGTAGGTTTTGAGCTTCTTTTTATAGGAATAAATTGAATGATTTTCAATATCTTTTAATTCGGAAGGTAGGGAATTAAATAAACTTGCACCACTGAAGGAAATTTTGGATTTTGCTTGCGTAGTCTTAACTGATGGAACTTTTAAGCTTTTAAGTTTAACCTTTCGACCTGCCCATCAGTTTGTGGGTGATACGGCGAAGTTCGCAATTTTTCCACCCCAAGAAGATGGAACACCTGCCGCATGAGCTCTGCTTCAAAGTTCCTCCCTTGATCTGTTAGAATTTTACGAGGAACACCGTGTCGAGTCACAACTTCGTCAACAAACGCTTTCGCTACGGTATCGGCTCTTTGGTTGGCTAGCGGCACCGCCTCTACCCACTTGGTAAAGTGGTCAGACATCACCAAGATGTATTGATTTCCCCGTGCAGTTAGAGGAAGTGGGCCCAAGATATCCATTGCCCATAATTCCATTGGGTGACCAACCTCTATGCTTTTCATAGGTGATTTACGGGGCGACACTGGAGACTTGCGGCGGTCGCACATTTCACATTCTGCGACCCACAGTTGCACTTCTGAGGCCATTCCAGGCCAGTAATATTGTTGTTGCAGACGCTCAAGGCAACGATTAACTCCCATATGCCCGGAGCAAGGGTCGTTATGGGAAAGCTTTAAAAGGTCGGGACGCATTCTACGTGGGACCACCCACACCAACCGCTCCGTGGGTGTGCCCTTATCCACGCGACGATGTAGGATACCGTTTCTCATCTCCATTTGCGGCCATAACTGCCTGTAGCGACGTTGCTCTCCGTTATCATTCCAACCATCCTCGTCTTTCTTTGGTGCTGTGTTAGTACAACGTAGCTTCTGCACTACCAAGAAAATGCTTGGATCGTCCTGTTGCGCCTTGATTATCTCTTCCTTCGGCCACGATGCATTCACTTCCGTGGCTGCTACTCCGACCATCAGGTCCTCATCGGGGCTCCAATCCGGCACAAGAGCGGGTGACACTCGAGGGAACCTGGAAAGTGTATCTGCGTTGTCGTGCTGTTTCCCCGGCCGATGTTTAATTTCGAACTCGTACTCCTGCAAAGCGAGTATCCACCGAGCAAGACGGCCTTTAGGTTCCTTTAGCCCCTGCAACCATGTCAAACTCTGATGGTCCGTTACAATGTCGAACGCTTTACCGAGCAAATATGGCCGCCAATAGTTCACTGTCCATACGATGGCCAAACACTCTTTCTCTGTCGTCGAGTAATTTCTTTCTGCTGGCGTCAGTGTTCGACTGGCGTACGCGATCACACATTCATGTTCACCTATTCGTTGCGACAAGACGGCACCGAGTCCGTAATCGCTGGCATCCGTATATATAATGAAAGGAACTGAAAAGTCCGGCAACGATAGGATTGGTGCTGTACACAGACGGTTCTTAAGCTCATTGAACGACTTGTCCGCTAACGGCGTCCAGTTGAACTCTGGCTGACTACCTTTAGTCATGTCATGCAGGGGCGTAGCGATGTCCGCGAAATTCTTTATAAATCTTCGATAGTAAGATGCCATACCGATGAATGCACGAACCTCGGTAAGGGAAGATGGGGTTGCAAAGTCTCGCACCGCCTCAACCTTCGATGGGTCAGGCTCGGTCCCTCGCGCCGATACGATATGCCCAAGAAACTTAACTGACTCTTGCGCGAACTGGCACTTTTCCCGCTTTACTTTCAACCCAGCAGCGCGAATACGACTAAATACTTCTTTCAAAATTAGCTGGTGTTCCTCCCACGTCTCGGAAAAGATGATTATGTCGTCGATGAAAACAAGGCACCCCTTTATCCCCTTCAAGACGTTCCCCATCATGCGCTGAAACGTGGCGGAAGCGTTGGTTAAACCGAAAGGCATCACCGTGAATTCGTAGTGGTCTACTCCCACCGAAAATGCAGTCTTCTCCCTATCTTCCTCTCTTAACGGTACCTGCCAATACCCGGAAGCGAGATCTAGGGTACTGAAGTAATGTGCACCCCCAACTGGTCTAGAATGTCGTCGATACGGGGCATTGGCTGAGCGTCCTTCTTTGTTACGGAGTTAACACGTCGAAAGTCAACGCAAAACCGGTAATCACCGTCTTTCTTCGGAGCTAGCACGATGGGCGAGGACCAAGGACTGTTACTAGGTTGAATTAAACCTCTGTCTAACATATCATTTACCTGATTGTTCACCACTTTGTTGAGATGAACGGGAATCCGATAGGGCCTTTGCTTCACTGGGCGACTATCCCCTGTATCAATCGCGTGTTCCGCCCTGGTAGTTAAGCCTAAGGGATCGCTCGGCCCGTTTACAAAAATGTCTGAATAACTTTCGAGCAGAACACTTAGCTTGTTCACAGTTGGGGAAGTTGTCTCAACGATTAATTCTGCTTCCCCTGTCTTCCACGAAAGCTTCGAGTTCGCTATGTCCACAACCATTCCCCCCGATTTTAAGAAATCGGCCCCCAAAATGCAAGTGTTTCTCATACCCACGACCAGAAACTGATGGGAGACCTTCGACATCCCAAGGCAAACATGCAAGTCCGTTGATCCCAACACATGTAGGTCCTCCCCGCCAATCCCTCTTGCCCTCAAAGAACATGGCTTTAAGGGTCCACTAATAAATTCTCTGCTGACTAACGACACCGTTGCACCTGTGTCCACTAAACATTTTCGCTCATGGTCGCCCAATCGTGCCTTTACGAAGACTGCCGTGGGCTGAACACAGTTTATGGGCAAGGCCGCATTATCCTGGGCTGACCCCCGGCCTAGAAACGGGTCGGCCCCTGGTCGTTTCCCTGACGTGGTTGGCTATTAATGGAGGACTGGAATCGAAACTGGCATTCCCGCGCGAAATGTCCCATCTGTCCACAAACAAAGCAGTAATTTTCAGTTTGGCGCTGTCGATAATTCATTCGTCGCCCGTTCCCGGACGTACTCCTACATTCGCTGGCGATGTGACCCATTCGCCCACATTGATAACAAGGGCCCCGGCGCCCCGCGGGGGAATTTCGCACAGACGCTGCGTTTACGTTAGCAACAGATTGAGATAATTCACTAACCTTCCTCGTAAGAATATCTACACTTTCCATCAATTGCATAACCAAGGGCGACTCTACTACCGTTTGATTCGTGCCACCGCTCGTATTCACTTCGTTAACCGATTGACTCGATGAAATCTGAGCCGCTAAATCCAGCTGTTGCCCCGCCGTAACTGTCTCCTCGTACGAGAGGGTCGGTCGTTGTAATAATTGTCTCTTTAGTTCTATAGATACTCCTTCGACAAATTGTTGCTTGAGAAGTGTTTCTCTGTCGCCCTTCTCGATGTTTGGCATCGCGCGTCTTAATAGCGCTTCTAAATTGTAGGCGAATACTTGGATGTCTTCGTCTGGCTTTCTCATTCGGCTGCGAAATGCCATCATCGCGAGATGTTTGCCGTTCTCATCACCACCAAAAGCCTCCGTTAGCGCTTTCGTTAGTACTTTAAAATCTTCTCCACCGCAAGACGCTCGAAAATCGCAAAAGCTTTACCAGACAACAGAGTTGGCAGCCTTTTTAACATATCCGTATCTTTCCAATCGTTCGCCTTCGCACAAAGCTCAAATTTTCGTAGCCACAGAACCATATCGCCGTCTGAAAAGATCTCGGGAAGTGCTACACTCATACGCGTCGCTGTTGCCATCCTGGTCACGGCACCAAATGTAATATAAGCGAATCAGACAACAACGATACAAAACCAGACTTTTCTATTACTCTTTTTCACGCTAGAATATCACACAATAACAATTCTAATGTCCCTGTCTCATATTACTGATGTCCTAATACCTTGCCAATCACCCCTGTGACACTTGATACCTATTATTATTATTATAGTCATACATATTACAGAACAAATAATGATGCTTCACAAGAAGGGCAAAAACTTTTCCGAGATTAGCCGTCGTAAGGCCCGTGACTTACACATGTCAGAATGTCCTGTGAACAGGCCGAGGAGCAGGCAGTCCGGATTTCAAAATTCATCCGAGTGGCCCAAAACCCTTTGGGGCTGTCAATTTCCCGTTTGTAATACAAAATGACTGAAAAGCGGCAAAATTCGCAAGGCTATATTATCCGCATTTTACAACATTTCGCAACGAAACTTTGGAATATTGCTAATTTTGTGATGCTCTTTCAAGCTGTGATGAAATTTTTGTCTAGACTTGTTGAGATCAAAATTTAGTCTATTACTCAAGTGGTCAATTTACTTCATCATTCATACTCTTGCTTAAATGTATCCCAACAAAATTTTTTTTATACACCTTGCACTAATATACGCCTTGTATACACTGTATACACTGTATATGCGTATCAAATGTATAGGATATACGACACGCGTGTCATACGCGTATCTGTTATGTACGATACGCGTGTCATACTCCTATCTGTTATATACGATAGATAGATAGATAGATAGATAGATAGATAGATAGATAGATTTTATTTTGACACGCTAACTACGTCAATTAAAAACATTGATTTCCACGAAGGGCGTGTGTTCAAAAGTTATTATATATAAGTGTTGTTATGACTCTTATGGAATCAAATAAAAGAAAATAGAAATAATCTAACTGTTCCAATTGACAAAATTGACAATATAGACAACTAACAAAACATATAGATAACTATTTACAATAAAGGATATATATATATGTATGTATAAATATATTATTTAGAAACATGAGCAGCAATTTTTCTTTCAAATAGAGACTGGGACCTAATTCCTCTGATTTCCACGATACGCATGTCATACGCGTACCTGTTATATACGGTACGCGTATCATACTCGTACCGTATTCGTATCATACGAGTGTCATACGCGTACCGTATTCGTATCATACGAGTATCATACGCGTATCGTATGTTAAGATATACGCGAGCGGTACTGAGTTCGTCGCATTGCCATTGGCCGTTTTTATACTAGAGACGCATCATGCGTCTGGAGGCATAATCCGTCTTCTACATTATTCGTCTAGCATTATTCGTCCCGTCTTTATACTAGACAAATAATGTAGAAGACGGATTATGCGTCCAGACGCATAATGCGTCTCTAGTATAAAAACGGCCATTCAGTGGGATGACACACATAGAGCAAGTCTATACAAGGGGCCAACATACATACATATCTATCCTCACCTTACTCGCTTTCACGTGTGCTAGATATTTCAACAAATACGTCATGGTGCCAGCAAATCCATTGGCAGCTGCCCAATGAAGAGCCGTTCTTTCCCACTACAAAAAAATTGTACAACTATGAAAAGCTTTAATAGGCTTTATTTCAACTGCAATTTTGCAGTGACAAGCAGATTAAAATAAGTCAACTGGCACGCACCCTCGAAACTCGTACCTTCAATATTTTGCCAATTCTATGGCAATGACTCGATTTAGAAACAACAACACATCAATGTAGTCAATGTACCCATAAGTGTAATAGGTCAGCAGATGGTGTTCAACTTCAGAAAGGTTAACATTTATATATTGGACAATGAAAAATTTAACTATAGTGGTAAATCTCTCAATTGTATTCAATTCAATTAACATTATTTCTTCACCCTGATAACTGCCGATTGTCCACACAACAGCGATTAGTGAAACCTACCTATATACCGCCTATTAAAAACACACCCCTCCTCCCCGAGATTTTCGGTGTCCAGCTGTTGCTCATATACTTGCAGCGATTGTCGTAACTGTTGCGCAAAGAGAGATCGCGAATAACTCTCGAGTTGTTGTATTGTACTTTCAAAGAGATAACAGTAATATTTAACTGCTCGAAGACGTTCGAAATTCCAATAAGTTGACAGTTAAGTAAAGTATAGTCAAAATATATTGTGAACCATTCCCAATATTAAAGTATACATATTATTTGCTAAATTTACATATGGCAACAAAAGGGTTGAAATATATTGGCAACCTCGATCCCCATGAACCACCAATACACAGTTATGGTTGTGTTAATCTGGTCTCTTCAGGCATAGTTTTTTACCGTTTTGCAAGTGCGCGCATGACGTTAATATGACACATGCATCCAAATGTCCCACACACCATGATATGGCCACGCCTGTGTTAATACCATCACCTCGTTTTCACGGGTAAATTTTTATGACCCTAAATTCTTGACCGTATTAATAGAATTCTATTATGTACATACATCAGTCATGTTGGACGCAATACCGGTGGCACAGATGTAACAAGAAGCTCTGTTGAGCGTTTAGTCGCTGGGGCTATTAAAATAAAGCCTGTATGTTTATTTCAATAAAGTATACACAGATAAAGTAAATCGTTGATTCACGCACTATTAAGTTGGTAGCGCTAACATGAAGTCTTGCTGCGCTACCTACCACAGTTTTCAGCGATATAGATACGTATAATCAACTCGAGTAAAGTTCAGAGTTATACTTTATTGCGTGAACTCCTGTAGCACAATAACTAAGCATGAATATCTAAAGTGCATAGCAACATTAATGTAAACAACTCTATTAAACACTCTTGTCTAATTAAGGAGACCCTATTTACACAAAACACGTCTTGATTAGAATAAATTATATCATTTGTACCCAATAATTTTGCTAGTTATTTCAAGATAAATTCTCACGGCATGGGCACAAGAAATGCATCTTGTCTGATTCTATGACCTAAGATACATACCGAATATGCCAGAAATTCTTTTTATTATATGGGTGCAAAAACCTATAATGATCTTCAAACTGACATTAGAAAGGTATCCAACTTTAACAGCTTTGTTAACATGGTTAAGGGTTTTCTCTATTAGAAATTTTCAATGTCATAATATATAGTATTATAGTTTAGTTATTTAATATATTTAGTATTTAGTCAGGACACACATTGATAACAGATGTATATTTTCTGAAGTGTTTATCCTGAATAAAAATTTACTCTATCTATCTATCTATTTGTAGGATTAATCTGGCTTAAAACGGCCAACTTCGAGGAAAACGGAAACCAGGCTTAAGCAAATGCATTCAAATTTATTGCCACTCCACATTTTGACTCACGAATTTTCTTGAAAAAAAGTTAATAGACCACCTCCCTCTAGTCATCTATTTATACCAATGGCCCTGCCATATTTTTGCCCCCTCCCTCTTCCATAAATAATTACCGGTCCCTAACTCTAAGAAAAATATGCGCACTTCGCAGAATATTTATAACAATTTATAATTGATTATATACCTTGGCCTCAGACTGGGTAACCACAACAGAAGTTGTCAATAGGCTCTTTCAAGGTTAAACCGTTCTGTTGCGCATTGCGCCCTGATGCACACTAATTTATTACTTTACTCTGTCTAACGCCAGACGATTTTACTCGTCAAGGGGAGAGCACTGGCACTTAATCGGTTAAGAACACTATCTTCAATATCTTGTTTTCACCATTGCCTTTACACCCCAGGCAAATTTACCTACAGGGAATTCCATTGTGTTTCCACCCCTTGCACTATTGTGTTTCATTATGGCGTCTTGATCTTGAAAGGGTCTGTTACAGCGGCCCCAACATTTCCCAGTTAAAAACACAATATATTGATCGTGAAATTACCGAAATACTGCATGTTTACAAGTCTGACATCCAGGGACGCCGGAACGATAATAGGGCAAAGGGGGGCGGACGCACACAAAGGGCACCTTTACTGAAAAATATTTTTTCACTGCAAAATTTTTGGCGACGTCTCCCCCCCCCCGGTCGCCAAAAAAATTTCGGTCAGTGTATCATTTTAGGGGTCAAAAATATTTTCCGGACATACAAAAATTTTCCGTGAAGCCAAAAATTTTTCCGGATATCTTAAATTTTCGCCATTTCTTCAAAATATTTTTCTAAATTCCAAAAATTTCCCAAAATTTTTATAAATATAAACTATAAATTGCCTGAATCTCGTGATTTTCCTACAAAAAGCGTCGTTGGAAATGTGATTTATCACGTATTATTTTACAACTAAAAGGGCACTTCTGCCCCCCCCTGCCCCCCCTAGCAAAAGGCAAGGGGGGCAGCCGCCCCCCCTGCCCCCCCAGTTCCGGCGTCCCTGCTGACATCCACCGGCGAAGTTCAAGTTCCACACAAGTAGCGATGAATGATGATCGCTGTGGTTGTATTTCTGTCTTATTAGGCTACACCATGTTCTTTTGCAACAATCCGCGAAAAGCCGGCACATGTACAGGGTTCCTCAGGGACAAATGATAGACTATATCTGCACAAACATACATATACAGTATCTATACTATTGTCCTATCTACATTAGGTTGGGTGAAATATAGTTGGATGACACGCAATAGAGCAAATCTATACATGGAGCCAACATACATATCTATCCTTACCTCATCCCTGGCATCCACATGTGCACCTTTTTCCAATAAATGTGCCACGACTTCAACATTTCCATACATGGCCGCCGAAATAAGAGCCGTTCTTGCACCCTATAAAAAAAATTACAAAGATGAAAAGCCTTGATAAGCCTTATTTCAACTGTAATTTTGCAGTGACAAGCAGGTCACAATATTCCTGTAATGTTAAATGGCCAACCGATTCCCAGAATACATTCAATCTCTTGTTTGAGCGTTACACTTGAGGCCATATAAAATAAATTCCTTGATTCTCATCGCTAAATTTTAAAAACTCCTAGGAGGCGGGAGGTTTATATTTTATATTTTGTCAAAATATAAAAAAAAGTTTAAAATTTAAAAAATTGGAGAGGGAGGTCTTTTTATATTTGCCCTTAAATATATTATAGAAGAACGCTATATAAGTGGATAATTGCACATGCGCTAATGAACATGCATAAGGGTCCACACAAATCGTTGTAATAAGGCTATAAGCCCATTTTTTCCTTCAGTATTCCAAGCATCCCTTAACATGTTGCAATATTAACGTAAAACAATTTTATATCGCAAAAATTCCAATATAAAATATAAAAATAACTAAATCTCTGAAGATGCTCGGTCGGGCGGTAAATTTATATTTTATAACAAAATACAAAAATATATAAACGCGGAAACCAAAATATCGTCGGGCGGTGATGAGAATCAAGGAATTTATTTTATATGGCCTGATGAAACACTAAGTTGGGACGAACACATTGAAACGATTTGCAAAAAAAGTTGGGGCAGGTGTAGGAGTGTTAAAATGCATCAAGCTCTACATTCCTGCAAACATATTGCTATCAATTTATAGCGCTTTGATACAACCTTATTTAGATTACTGCATCTCTCCACTTTGGGATATTTGTAACAAAACACTGAAGGAAAAGTTACAAAAGTTTCCAAATCGGGCAGCTAGAATAATAGCTGGTGCTAGCTTTGAGATCAGGTCCGCTGACGTTGTTCGGGCTCTTGAACGGGAAAATTTAGATTCTAGACGAGGTATGAGTAATGCAAGATTATTATTTTAAAAAACGCATTAATAATTCATGAAAAATACAAAAGAAATGAATGTTTAATCAATGTTTGTAAATCGGATAAAGATTTGTCCTAATTTACATAAACTTCAGCTTTGATTTTCACGGCATAGACAATGTTTATTAGTCGGTGGTGCCTACCTGTGGTGCCCACTGACTCTAGTTTGCCCTTTGGTAGGCCACAAAATGACAAATTACGTCATTTTAATTACGCAATTTTTACGAAATAAAAATCAAAATGGCGACCATGGAATAGCGTGCAAAAGTTCGCTATTGACTATTCGGTCCAGTCGTGTCTTTTCTTTTGGGGTTTTTGAAAGAAATATATTAAGAATTCACTAAGGCGAGACTTTTTTTATTCATTGGTTTACGGATCCGCCAACCGTAAATATTCAGAAAGTGAAAAAAAAATAAAAATTGGAAGTAAAAAATTTTACAATTTTATTTAATTTTAATTAATTTGGGGTTCTGACATGAAGTACACTTCAAGTGAACTTTGACTCTAGGTACTGCTGGCTCATGTTATCGTTGTGACAATCAATATGTAGATTAGCTACGTTTTTTGCGTTTTTTTTTTTAAAATTGACGTTAAAAAAATTTATAAAGATTATTAATTTCGGTTCTCATTTATACTCAGTTCGGGTTTTTTTTAAATTTTTTTCCGACCTACCGACATCTTATTTTTAAAGTCAAATCCGTAAACCAATAAATAAAAAAGTCTCGCCTAAAAGTTATCACGACGTTTCACTGTTATGCTGTCGAGCAAGGAAGTGGATAATTTGTACATTATTTTATATATTTAAAGTTTGTATCGCGCGGCGGAGATATCGGGCGCTGAACTAAATTCTCGATTTTTAAACTTTTTTGGTAGTGTTTTTAGTTCGACAAGACACTCTACGGAGCGTTAACTCGCTGGGGCTATACTAGACTTGGTTGAAGTCCGTCTCATATCAGGCGAAAAGTAGGGAGAGACGAGATAGATAGATGAATCGTTTATTAAATCAATTATTGCAGTCCAATGACTGAATTACAATTGGTTGTTATAAAGCCCTGTTTAAACGGATCCAACATTGTTGGACCAACATCATCCAACATTGTTGAAATAATGGCTCAAACGGCTTCTTTTTCAAATATTTTTGTCAAGACTAGGTTTAGAGTTTGAGTAAAGCTTATCTAACCAAAAAGATTTGAAAGAGAAGCAGTCATATCTAGTATAGTAACATTGTTGGATGATGTTGGTCCAACAATGTTGGATCCGTTTAAACAGGCCTTAAGATTTATAAATACATAGTACTAATGTTTAAAAAAATTGTTATATATATATATACATTCAAATATTTAAAATAAGTTCGTTTTTATTTCCTTTCGTGATGCGTACACAAGTAGTCTAGGACCTATATGAGTTTGTATGCGATTCATTTAGGGGTAAAATGACCATGGCGGTCAACATGGCATATGTGCGAAACCCTGAATCCGGGACGAAAGTCCTGAAAATGACCCCGCCCTGAAACGGCAGTGTCGACATAGCTCTAACTTCCAAAAAGGAAAAGCGATAGCCTTTCTGAAGTGCTTATAGTGTTTAGAAGGGTTGCTTTTAGGGGTGATCATTGAAAGGAAAAATTTGTCTGAGTATAATATTTTACCAGAAAATGACAATGCACCACCCCAGGTAAATTGCTGATTATGCACAAAATAACTAATATGCCTGGCAGAAATTAAATATTCTTATTTCCTAAAAAAAATTATCATGGGGTGAAAAACTATGCTTAATTTAATATAAATATTGTTGATTTCATAAGGATTGTCATTGTTTTCTTTAAATATAATACATTTTATTTTCACTTGCCCCCCACGAAAACACGATTTCAGCCATATTTTGCCGTCTTGTTTGCTTTTTATCGCCGAATCTCGCAAATATCATCCAGTTATTGTATTTTTACATAATTATAAATGGCTGAAGAAGATTTCAAAGAAGGTTTCATCCACTTTTGTAACAGTTTTAATGGCTCGCCGCTTCTCTGCCCGATAAATGCCACTTCTTCGTTTTCATATGTATTTAGATTACATTATCCAAGAGTACTTCCTTGTAGAACAGTACCAATCCAAAAATTGAAAATATTATTGGTACTTGGGAGGAAAAAACCTCCCATAATAGTTGTCCTGTTTCAATTCAAAAGAAATAATTTGAAAGTCACGCGCAAGTTCGCGAAAACACCTCGTGTACTAGATGACAGGGGGTGAATATTTTCACGAAACGTTTGTTCGCCACCACAGCAACCTAACTAAATGTATTATATTTTTTGTATTTTTATAATTGATACGCAAATATTTATTGCTTTTATCATAAATCACAAATATACAATAAATATAATGTACTTAGTTAGGTTGCTGTGGCCTGTGGTGGCGAACAAACGTTTCGTGAAAATATTCACTCCCCCCTGTTATGTAACCCACGAGGTGTTTTCGCGAACTTGCGCGTGACTTTTAAATTATTTCTTTTGAATTCAAACAGGACAACTATTATGGGAGGTTTTTTCCTCCCAAGTACCAATAATATTTTCAATTTTTGGATTAGTACTATTCTACAAGGAAGTACTCTTGGATAATGTAATCTAAATACATATGAAAACGAAGAAGTGGCATTTATCGGGCAGAGAAGCGGCGAGCCATTAAAATGGCGGCAATTTGACGAAATATCGAAGGACACAATATCGAAGATAAAATACACTGCACTGTTACAAAAGTAGATGAAACCTTCTTTGAAATCTTCTTCAGCCATTTATAATTACGTAAAAGTACAATAACTGGATGATATTTGCGAGATTCGGCGATAAAAAGCAAACAAGACGGCAAAATATGGCTGAAATCGTGTTTTCGTGGGGGGTAAGTGAAATAAAATGTATTGTATTTAAAGAAAACAATGACAATCCTCATGAAATCAACAATATTTATATTAAATTAAGCATAGTTTTTCACCCCATAATAATTTTATTAGGAAATAAGAATATTTAATTTCTGCCAGGCATATTAGTTATTTTGTGCATAATCAGCAATTTACCTGGGGTGGTGCATAGCATTTTCTGGTAAAATATTATACTCAGACAAATTTTTCCTTCCAATGACCACCCCTAAAAACAACCCTTCTAAACACTATAAGCACTTCAGAAAGGCTATCGCTTTTCCTTTTTGGAAGTTAGAGCTATGTCGACACTGCCGTTTCAGGGCGGGGTCATTTTCAGGACTTTCGTCCCGGATTCAGGATTTCGCACATATGCCATGTTGACCGCCATGGTCATTTTACCCTAAAACAGTTGAGATTACCTGTCCTAAATGAATCGCATACAACCTCATATACAGGTCCTAGACTAAAGGATAAAAGAGTCCTTAAATCTATTTGTCCTAATCGTTGGGAGATTATATTTCTTAATTGTTCTGAAGTTATAACCAGCCTTATTCATTTCTGGTAAAAGTCCGTGAAGTTTGTGATCTTCATTTTCTTCAATATCACGAAACAGTTTTTCACATAGTTTCTCTCTACGGTCGTTTAGTCTTTCTAGGTTTCCCAATTCCAACGCTTCACTATAATCCACGTAAGGGTAAATAATTCTTAGGGCTCTTTTCTGAATTTGTTCAATTTCTTTTGAAAGATAATTAGGAAGGCCTGAGTGAAAGGCCTGACAAGCGTATTCGAGGACAGATCTGATACAGGCGCAGTAGAATTTGATCAATGAATTAGTATCGACTTTCGCACGTTTTAACTGTTTCAGGAGATAAAGTCGTTTGGAAGCTTTTAATAAAATATTTGCCACATGGACATTCCATTTTAAATCATCGGTAATGGTCATTCCTAAGATTTTTGCGGATGTTACCACTTCAAAATGTTTATCATTTACTTTGACTGGTTCGTCTCTGCAAGGGTGTTTAGTAAAATTTATTCTAAGTTCTTTGTATTTTCCAGAATTTAATTGAAATTTGTTATTATTTGACCAATTAGCCACTTGATCAACTATATCTTGTAAATTACTATTTTCAGTTCTAGGGATGACCTCCGAAATTGTGGAGTCATCTGCGAATTTCCATATCTTGTTTGTTGAATTCTCTGAAACGTTCAAATCGTTTATCATAATGAGGAACAACCATGGTGCTAATTTGGTCCCTTGAGGTACCCCTGCCTGGACTTGCAGTATATTGGAATGACACTTATAATTCAACTTAATTCTTTGGGTATGCTTATATAAGAAGTCTGTAATCCAATTGGTGACTGATGGCTTAATTCCGTAGTTAATAAGTTTTGATATAAGAAGGTTATGGTCCACCAAGTCAAAAGCTTTCCTAAAGTCTAATAAGGCAACTTTCACCGTAGAACCTGTTGCATCTGTTGCGGCCAACCAGTTATGTAGCATTGAGATAATTGCATGAGTTGTACATGATTTAGGAATGAAGCCAAATTGGTGGGGATCTATTTTCTGTAAAATCTTAGGTTTCAGTTCGTGGTCGATTACAAACCCTTTCGCGATTTTCGATAGTGCAGACGTCAATGATATTGGTCTCAGGTCTTTGTTGAAATCAGTTATGCTCGATGTTTTAGGGATGGGTGATACGTCAGCCATCTTCCATGCCTCTGGAACCGCACAGTTACGAAATGAACAATTCAAAATGTCTGTAATGGCTGGAGCTAAGATATCAGCATATATTTTTAATACCCAAATTGGAGGTTTGTCTGGACCATTTGCTCTGGATATACTTATTTTGCGTAACTTCTGCTGAACAGATGTCAGGCTAACTTGTATAGGGTCATCTTCCTCTTGGGTTACATGGGCATCGTCTGTTAAAGGGGTATAATCTTTTGTGACACTAATAAAGGCTTCGTTTATCCTTGGGACATTTGCAGCATTTCGAATGTCACTTGCAAAAATTGGCGCGAAAATTTGTTGTTGTTCTCAACTCGCAAGCCTCCGTAGGAAAAATCCGACGGATTTTGCAGTCCCTACTTTTCTCTCACATTTTCGCACCTTTTTTAGATTTTTTGACAGCTCGCATGCATCGCTATTTTCAACCCCTTGAGAGACGGATTTGAACCCGAGTCTAGGGCTATACAAATACGCACATTACTGCACATGATACATACAGTACGCAGATATTTCAATTAAGATTTAAGGTTTTCCCCGAGCTAAGCGGAAAAGTCGAATACCGGCGCGAAAGGCTTAACACAGTACTAAAATGCGCTAGGCCCTACAAGCAAAGTTATGTTTAGTACACTACATTCTATTTCTGCAAGACTGTCAGCCGCCAGTTGGTTAGACCATAGACAATCCACAAGACATGTCTTCTGGATTGCCCATGCTTAAAATGTTCAAAATAAAATATTTGGGGGCTTTTGCGCTCAAAATACTATCAAAATGAAGAGAGAAGTGAGACGAATCCACTGGTATACGGCCGAAAAAGAGAAAACCAATGATACCAAAGTGATCAAGGATCAAACGTACTGCATTTTTTTATAATTAGTTTAATAATTTTGAGCGATTGTCAGCAATACAATTTCGCTTGGCTTTCAAAGACAAAGGCGATAAATCGTTAGAATACTGTTGCTTAGTAATACTGTACATTTGACATCCGTAATTAGTACAATTTCTAACGCTGAATCGAACGGTGGTATTTTTAACCTTATTGCGCCATTTCAAATACACTATGAAACGTACTGCGAGTGATTTGTCAACAAATTATACAATTTCGCCTGATTTTCAAAGGCCATAATTCGCTAGAATACTGGTGCTTATAAATACATTTGTAATACATTAGAGATACGTAAGTACAATTTCTTACGCTGAATCGAACGGTGTCGCTTTCTTCTCAAAATATAAAGCAGCGAACCCAAACTATTAAAGCCAAACGTAACTGGCGAAGGTTGCTGTTTCCATGTCGAAATTCCTTGTAAAATTGTTCAATTTTCCCGAATTTTCCTCAAAATGCAGGGTTATTTATGGATAATTTGGGTAAAATTGGCAGGAGCCTTATGGATAATTGGGATTACCTATCGACGATTGGAGATCCACTATCCATGATGAAAGCCGAAACCTATACTCGTCTGGGGCACAGGTGCCCCAGCCAGCGAGTAAAAATTCTCTTCGCTCCTCTCTTTGTCGCTAAAAAAGAACTCTTTTGGACCACTGTCAAGATATCGTAAAAAGCTGCCCGCTCCTGCAGCCAATCAGATTGCAGGAAATCAAAAATATCACTAGGCGTGCACAAATAAAAAAAATATTATTATTCCAGTTCGCCGCCCTTATACTGCACACTCGTATGTAGATTAGTATATATGACTAAAGCGTTATTGCTATAAATGGTTGTAGACACAGGTCATTAGCTAGTCGCTTGGTAATCATGCGAAATACCTCTCCATGAATATGTTCTGTGTGTTTCTACAATACGTGTCATATTGTAATGACAGCAGTCCTGAGAGATTTTAAAATACCATTTGCCAGGAAGACAAAGGGGCTCTATTAAACACCCTTGTCCTATTAAGGAGACCCTATTTACACAAAACACGTCTTGATTAGAATAAATTATATCATTTATAGGATTTATCTGGCTTAAAAGCCAACTTCGAGGAAACTAGAAACCAGGCATAAGCAAATGTATTCAAATTTATTGCAACTCCACATTTCGACCCACGAATTTTCTTGAAAACATTGAATAGACCCTCCCCCCACACCTCTAGTCATCTATTTATACCCATGGCCCCACCTTATTTTTGCCCCCCTCCCTCTTCCATAAATAATTACCGGTCCCTAACTCCAAGAAAAATATGCGCACTTCGCAGAACATTTATAACAATTTATAATTGATTACCTTTTCCTCAGACTGGGTAACCACAACAGAAGTTGCCAATAGGCTCTTTCAAGGTTAACCACTTCAGCCCTGATGCACTCTACTTTATTACTTTACTCTGTCTAATGCCAGACGATTTTACTCGTCAAAGGGAGAGCACTGGCGCTTAATGGGTTAAGGACGCTAACTTCAATATATTGTTTTGACCATTGCCTTTACACCCCAGGCAAATTTACCTATAGGGAATTCCATTGTGTTTGTACCCTTTGCACTATTGTGTTTCATTATGGCGTCTAGATCTTGAAAGGGTCCATTATTGCGGCCCCAACATTTCCCAGTTAAAAACACAATACATTGATCGTGAAATTACCGAAATACTGCATGTTTACAAGCCTGACACCTACCGGCGAAGTATTTCTGTCTTGTTACGCTACACCATGTTCTTTTAACCGCCTATTGACCGCCTAACTTCAATATAGTAACAATCAATTGTTTGCTAACAATCCGCGAAAAGCCGAAACCTATAATCGCTGGCGGCACAGGTCCCCCAGCGACAAAGGATAGACTACATCCGCACAAACATGCATATATTAGGTTGGGTGAAGTACAGTGGGATAACACACAATACAACAAGCCCTATACATGGAGCGAACATACATATCTACCCTCACCTTATCCTTGGCATCCACATTTGCACCTTTTTCTAACAAATCTGCCACGATTTTACCATTCCCTTCGATGGCCGCCCAAATAAGAGCCGTTCTTCCACCCTACAAAAAATATACAAAGACGAAAAGCCTTGATAGGCCTTATTTCAACTGTAATTTGCAGTAACAAGCAGGTCACAATATTCCTGTAATGTTAAATGGCCAACCGATTCCCAGAATAAATTCAAGCTCTTGCTTGAACGTTACACTTGATGAAACACTAAGTTGGGGCGAACACATTGAAACGATTTGCAAAAACGTTGGGGCAGATATAGGAATGTTAAAGCGCACCAAGCCCTACATTCCTGCATATATGTTGCAATCAATTTATAGCGCTTTGGAATATTTGTAACAAAACACTGAAAGATAAGTTACAAAAGTTTCAATTGTTTCAAGGTAGCTAGAATAATAGCTGGTGCTAGCTATGAGATCAGGTGTGCTGACGTTCTTCGGGCTCTTGAACGGGAAAATTTAGATTCCAGACGAGGTATGAGTAAAGCAACGTTATTATTTAAAAACGTCATTAATAAAGGAAAATACAAAAATAAATGAATGTTTAATCACTGTTTGTAAATCGAAGATTTGTCCTGATTTACATAAACTTCAGCTTTGATTTTCTCGGCTTAGACAATGTTTATTAGTCGGTGGGGCCACCTGGACGTAGGTAATCTTCGAGTTAAGCCCAGACCATGCTCAAACCACACCCATTCTCGTCAAGGGCTTAACTCGAAGAAAGAAACACAACTTGGAAAGTTCGAGTTAAACCCTGTGAAAAAAGGGGGTAGTTACTCTTCGAGTTAAGCCTTTTCGAGTTAAGCCCCTGCCACACCCTTTTTCGCCGGGGGCTTAACTCGAAGTCAATTAATGATTTAGGCATTCGAGTTAAGCCCCGACATTTGGTGGCTACAGTTTTATACAGACAATGGCATCGTGAAATGAGAGAACTCAATAAGGATTTGTAAAGAACAGCTCATTCAGGGTGGCAATTACGGCTTTAAAAACTAAATAATATATAGCGGCACTTGCAGAACGCAAACCTTAGGCATGTTCATACGGAGGCGAGCTACCTTTCTACGATATATCTCTTCTCCAAAGTAGGGGACTTGAATATTAGAGCGTGACATCATACGCTAGAACTTCATTCTTGATCATTCTGAGAACATCAGTATAAAACCACGTGCATTTTGCCAACTGGCAATGTTAAAAGAGTACTGGGTTTAAACCAAACGTTATACGAAGGTGCGAAAGTATAGAGGTTGAATACGAAGAGGAACTTTACGAAGCACATATTCTGAAGCTTCACGGTAAGTTTAATATTAGAAATATAAAAAGATAGGTCTGCAACGCTTGTGTATAAAAACATGAAATCGCTAGCATGTATATTTTCCGATGCCCACGGTTTGTCTATGACTGAAAAGCAAAGCGCGATAATTTCCGACGATCTACGAAGAGAATTCTTTCTCAGCTGCGTCTTCGCCTGCAGACGCAAAGCGGACGCATGGCGCCCGCACAGTGGACGCACCCGCAAGCGCCCGCAGACGCACGGCGCCCGCAGGACGGACGCACCCGCCGGCGCCCGCAGGACGGACGCACCCGCCGGCGCCCGCAGGACGGACGCACCCGCCAGCGCCCGTGGACGCACAGTGGACGCAAGATACCCGCGTCTTGGACGCGGTTTTTGATAAGTTATTTCTTGGCAGTACTGTATATATATATATATATATATATATATATATTGTTTGTTTTCTTTTAATTTCCAAATATGTTTCGAAAGTTCCGTTTTGTTTGAGTCTTTTTTATGACGAAAAGATGAAGTGTGGTTAGCGTAACGTTCCTTAAATGTAGTCGCTGTCATACCAATGTAGTGTTTAGCGTCGTTCGTGTTGTTCGTTGTGACTGTTGCTTTGTAAATAATGTTGTTGGTCATGCATTGTTTCGGTAGTGGGCAAGTGTTTTTGTTGTCGCAGTTACAGTTGTCAGTTTCCGTATTCTGTGATTGACTGTTCCTAATTAGGCTATATGTGCGTTGTGTTTGGTGATTATAGACTTAACGTTGTTCATGCAACTGTAGCTTACTTTTAAAGTGTTTCTGTTAAAAATCTTGTGTAGTTTGTGCTGTAGTGGGAAGTGTTGAGGGCCCTCCCAGCATTGAGGGTCCTTTATAATATCTTTAGGGAATTGCAAGTAATTGTAAGTTGGTCTGAAAGGTTTTTAAGTATTAGGCCGGAACCACCAATGGTGTGTTTTCGTCGGTCTAAAAACCTTAAAGATCACTTAGTCCGTTCTAAATTGAGAAGGGAAGAGGAAACGGTCGTAGGGATGTTTAAGTGCGGAAAGAAGAAATGTAAAATCTGTGACAATGTTATTATTGGTGCTACTTTTAAAAGCCAAGTTGAGGGGCGGTCTTTCTGCATTAATCATCGCTTCGATTGTGACTCGAAGGGTATAGTGTATTTGATTAGTTGTAAATTCTGTGGGTTGCAATATGTGGGGAATACAGTGCTGTAAGTAACTTCGTTAAAAGTAACTAGTTACAAGTAATCGTTACATTTTTCAGTAACGGTAACGGTAACTTGTTACATTTTGAGAACATGTAACTGTAACGGTAACTAGTTACAAAAAATGCCATAAAATTGAAACGATTACAAGTTATTTTGCCAAAGTTACAAGTTACATTTTGTTCGTTGCTATTTGTGTACATTTTTAAAATGAAATAAATCAATACACAGTCAGGCAAGCTCTTAATCATCTGCACAGGAATAATTTAATCTGACACAACAGAATCCGTTCAAGACACAAATTTAAGTCGGGGATGGACGTCAAATTTACGTACAGTTGGAACTGATGGAATGCCGTCGCTCGCCTTCACTTGGGCCTTGGCCTCGTCATAATTGGTCTTTGGCCTCATTTCACTTGGCCTTGGCCCATGCAGTCATGATCACGTATTCACGTTTCTGCTTTTTCATTGCGAAGTCAGAAGCCACTAGCCAGTTAGGTATATATTTTTCCAATCTATTCGTTCATACTGTATAATAGCAGAGTTTTTAAATTGACAATTCCATTAAAAAATCGATTTGGTGGAATTTTACAGATGCATGCAGATACATCTAGTAAATAGTTAATAGTTTTGCCAAAAATTTTTCCGCAAGTTTCATTACCATTCGGCCCATTCGAAATGTATGCGTTCTTAATTGCAATCAATAAATGTAACTTGTAACTTTGTAACTAAGTTACAAAAAACATATTGTAACTTTGTAACTGTAACTAGTTACACTTTGGCGTCTGTAACTTGTATCGGTAACTAGTTATGTTTTTGGCAATGTAACTATAACTGTAACTAGTTACAAATAAACTGTAACTGTTACAGCACTGGGGGAATACCATAACACCGTTCAGATTGCGATTTAATAACCACAAGAGTGCATTAAATAGATATGGGCGGGGGCAGAGAAATATTTGTGGGCAACAATTGTACGCCCATTTTTGGGGGGAGGGACATTCAGGTCTAAGTGATTTTTTAGTGCAGGTTATTGACGTCACGGACGTTAATAACCCCACTGAGAGGGAGAGCTTTTGGATTGAGAAACTTAATAGTGATGTCCCACGTGGGCTTAATAAAAGGTAAGAGGTTTAATTAATTTATGCATAGCTAAACGTTAGACTATTTAAGCAAGAGACGGAGATGATGTAGCGTTATTCTGAAGAACGGGCTTGTCCCCGAAACGTAAAAATATAATTTATTTACTTTGAAGTTTTATGATTTCTTGATATATATATATATATATATATATATATATATATATATATATATATATATATATATATATATATATATATATATATATTGAATTGAATTGAATTGAATTTATTACAAAATCTGAATGGCAGCTAAGAGCAGGGGCGGATCTAGGGGTCGTCAAATCAGTCGCGCGACTGAAGTAAAAATTGCTTACGTAAAAAAATTGACTCCAGCTATCTACAGTAGATCGAGTTACTAAAATTTTGAATCGTACCGGTAGTCCAGTTATACGTTTCATGCTGCGGCAGAACTTCGGCAAAGTAATGTTAGTCAGTCACGAACAGCGGTCTTACGCATGAAAGTTGACGGATTCGGGGGTTAAATCCGGCTATCTGATTGGCTGACACGCTCATTTCCATGGTTACGGCCATTTGCGACGGATCTGTGGGGAGGCCTGACGGATTTGCAGATTCAGGGGCTCTGTATGAGCCTTCTGATTGAACCATTTAAAAAAATTCTGCACTGTCATTGGCTTATATTTTCGACGGATTCGCAACGTGAGGTATTCGTCAACACCGCATTTGTGTTTACCTTTGAGTGTTTACTATTTCGAACGTTTACTATTACGTGCGATTTCTACCAGCGATATCTGGAAACATTTTCGACAATGTTCAGTTTGCGATTGCGGCAAACAATTTGGAATCTCTATACAACGTTTGTATACGGAGCTTGAAAAGAATATCGATGCCTCACGGACAAATTTTGTTGACAAGCTACTAAGCGGCGCCATCAACAATACAAGCAGAAGCCTCGCTAGAAATTGTGGCACAGAGAGCTACTGCTAGAGAAAGACAAAGCTTGCACTGCAATAAGGTAGATAAATTTATGGTTTTATAGTTCATATTAAAGGTTTATAAATCGGAGTACCAAGCCATCGGTGTTGTTAATGATTGTCTGACATATGATATTTTAATATATTCACTATGCTGTATTGCTGTATTAGCATAATTCTCGCGTCAAGAAGCTAAAATATGTTAATATTCAATGTCTACATTGTGAGCATTTGTTGATTCTCATGTTAGTGAAGTTTTATTTAAAATTTCTTTATATTTATGCATTAATCACACAACATGTACGCGTAACGCGTATACGTGTATTGTTTATCCATAGCCTATCGACATGTCATGGCTTGTTAGACCAAGTCATGTCTTGTTAGACCGCATTGGACCAAGACATGACTTGTTAGACCAAGTCATGTCTTGTTAGATCAAGTCATGGCTTGTTAGACCGCATTGGTCGACGTCTGATGTAACACGATGATGTGAA